AATCCAAAACAAAACCTTAAATTGATGTGATATATCCTTCCGTCCCACATACCGTGTCTGCTACACTGTAGACACGGTATTTTAGGAGGGATGTAATTAGTAGATAATTAAGAATGTATTAGTGAAAATAATTATTCTATAATATAAATAATTATAGATTAAGATTAAGATAAGATAACTAATTAGTTTAATTAAAATTAAAAAAATAAAATTTAAAAATTTAAAATGAGATTAAAGTGTGTAATCATTTTCCAAAAAAAAGAAAGTGACATGGTATATGAGACGGATAGAAACGGCAACGTGGACATGGTATCTGGGACGGAGGGAGTAATATGTTTGTTTGTTGGTTTGAATTTTGAGCTGATCTTTGAATAATAAAAATTTTGAATTTGAATAGTTGCATTATGTGATATAAACATATGTTGATGTGATTTTTTGAATATAAAATTAATTTTTAGTATAATATAAAAATAAAAAATAAATATTTGATTTGATATTTTTTTAAAAAAATCTAATAAATAGTAAATTTTAGGGAAAACCCGCCAAATAAACACACCCAATGATTTGGAGCTGTAGTCATTAATACTATTTGTACCTGTGTAAATATATATTGTTGAATTTTAAATATTAATATATGTGTAGATATATATTTCATCAGCCAATATATATATACACGTTTTACCTGAGTAAAACTTCTAGAATAAATAGACGAATTTATTTTCATTCGAAAAAAGCTTGATAAAAATTCATTTTGGGTTTTTTATTTTAATATTTCAAATCAAAATTAATATTATTTATTACGTACAATTTGAAATAAAAATATTTCCTCGGTCGACTCCCACATAATTTTTTTGTATTTTTTTATTTTCGTTCGTCTCATATTATTTGTCATTTTTTTTAAAAAAAATATATAATTATATATTTTAATCAAATTTTAAAATTCATAATTTATAATTTTTTATTTAACTAAACTATTTAATCATCTTAATCTTAATCTATAATTTTTTTTATTAAATTATAATTATTTTTACTAATATATTTGTTAATTACTTACTAATTACACAATACGTAAAATTCTGTACCCGGCTAACGTGGGCAAATTAGCTAGGACGGAGAGAGTATTTTTCTTTTACAAAATATAACATCAAAATACTATTTAAACAAAAACTCAAATCAACATCTTATTTCAAATCAATTTCAAACTTTAATCAAACAAAAAGAAATTAAATAAATTTAACTTACATTTCAATAATTAATTACATTTACACATACACTCAAATTTTATTAATAAGCATTTTGATAGTTTTTATTGAAAGGTTAAATTTGATATTTTTAGTGAAATATTAGAGTCAAATTTAATCTCAACCAAAAATTGTTTTAAGTGTGACGTATTTTGGGCCAATGAAAATTTGAAGGTCCTACACCCGCCCAAATTGAAGCCGGATATGGTAACCCGATTAGCCGACCCGGTTTATGTGAGACTCATTGTTAGCCGTCAGATCAAGATTTTAATCTCTCCCCTTAGATCTGCTTAACTGTTTTGTTGACTGCCGCTAAGATGCTCTCATTCGATAAAATACTTAGTTGTGTTCTTTTGTGAATTTTACCACATATTTTTACTATTCAATTTTTTTTTCTCCAAAAATATCACATCAAACAATTATTTTTTTTTTTTATATTATATTACAAATTTATTTTACATTTAAAACATCACATCAACCTCTATTTATATCACATCAGACAACTATTCAAATTCAACTTTTTATTATTCAAAAATTCAAACCCAAAAACTAAACTTTACAAACACACCCTTATTCTCTTTAAAAACCCTAACCTGTAGCCGCGATTCCGATTGATCTTCTCTTGGCGTTTTCCGGTGATTCTGTATGACGAAATTGGAGCTTCAATCTTCCCCTTCGATGTGCGACTTGATCTGTGATGGTTCATCGGTTTGGTTTATCGATTCATGCTTTTCTTGCATTTACATGGTGTATCTTTTGTCTATTTGTAGATAGGCTCAGATCGATGATGTTTTTATATATTGGGATCGGATTAGCGTATTGTTGTGTTTTCGTGACAAATCATTTGTGGTTTGGGGTCTTGGTTGTGTTTTTCATGGTTTTGGTTGATATTGTGGGTAACATGAATCCGAACATTATTACTTTCGAAATATAAAAGATTTTTTAAGGTTTTTGTTTTTAGTTATTGTATGATTAGCAAGCTGTCTATTCTCAAATTAGCATAACATTAAGAAAATGTTAATTAACAAACAAGTCGAGTTTGAATACAAGCTCATATTGACACAATTGAAAAATATCAGTTGTCCCGTAAGGGATGATCGGGTGGTGTAGGCAGTTGCGGATCTAAAATTTTGAATTTGGTGGGTCAATAAATTAATATAATTAAATTAAAATAAATAAATAAATAAACAAAAATTTACATTAGAAAAAACACAAAACTTCAAATTAACAAGTGTTACAAGTGTTCGCGACGAAATCTTATATTTTGGTACCAGCTGACAATAGCATCTATACTAACTTTCGTAAATACATCTCTTTTTAGGAAAGTAACGAACCAATCATTTAATAATTACTCTTTCATGTTATTCCGTCATTTTTTCTTAATGATAGTTATAATTGAAAATGATTTTTCTAGGTTTGCAGTTGCTATTTTTCTTTGTCTCAACATGTTTCATAGAAAGTTCATTTAAATTCTTCAAATTTCAAGATATTTCATCACATTGAACATCAATAATGAAATTACCTAATAATAATTCGAAAATCATCAATTTTGCATCTGACAATTCTGTAGAATATAATTATGCAAGTAGTTGCAATATCTTTTTATTAAAAGAGGAAAGACTATTGGCGGGAAAAAAATAAGACATCAATAATTCTTTTGGTGGGTCTCGTTGAATACACAAATCGTCATTGATTCATGAAATAAAAATAAAACTAATACTTAGGGATACATTTTTAATTTAGTGATAATTAATATTATTTTTAATTTTTTTTGGTGGGTCAATTGACCCACCTTGCCTAATACTGCATCCGCTCCAGGGTGTAGGGGTTCCACATGTGACCGTGAGATCATGGTTTCAAACATTCGACCGCCTCTCGTTCCCATAAAATATGCCCATATTTTTTTAAAAAATAATATTTTTTTCTGATTTTTCTAATTTTTTTAAATTTTTTAATAAAAATAATTATATTAATTACTATAATTAATATATTACCATTAAATCTTCTGACTGGTCAAATTTAATTGGTCATTTGAAGGCAAAATTTCGATCGACGACCATTATAAATCACATTACAACAATGGTAAATTATATAAAATTTTCTTATATTTTAGTAAAAATGTATAAAATATATTGTGTTTTATTTAGTGTGAAACTCACTTGTGTTAATATAAAACTTGTACGAAACATTTTTTTCGACCAATTAAATACAATTATTTTTTTATTCAATAAAAAAAACATTGAATTAAGATATAAGAATAATAAAAAATAACTTTAATATTATATTAATATTTGTTTTTATTATATCAAATTTTATTTTAATTTAAAATTTTACTCTCGTATCAAACGCCCTCAGATATTTATTTTCCCAAACTCACTTCAGTATTTCTAAATTTAGAAATAATTAATTATATTTATATATATACATATTTCACTTTATTTCATCACATCACTCAATTAAAAATAAATAAATATACATTTTTCTCTCCAATCACATCACTTAATTTCTAAATTATCTCAAATTATCCTAACTTAATTTTTCCACTATTTCTATTTTCGTCCGTCCCACATAATTTGCCATTTTCTTTTTTGGAAATACAATTATACACTTTAATCGCATTTTAAAATTCATAATTTATAATTTTTTATTTTAATTAAACTATTTAGTCATCTTAATCATAATATAAAATTACTTTTATTAAATTATAATTATTTTTACTAATATATTTCTTAATTACTCACTAATTACACAATACCTAAAACTCCGTACCTAATCTAAATGAGACAGTCGGAACAAAGAGAGTACTATCAACCTAAATTTTCGTACTGAACTCAAATATTATATGGTGTTTACAACGAGGAGTACTATAAAACTTAAAATCTCTTAACTAATAGGCTTTAATATAACACATTGGGGTATATTATTTTACGACTTCTCAGAAAATAAATTATATATGAAAAATAAGTTTTGAACTTATAAACTAATGCCGATTCAAAATAAATTATATATGATTAATTATCACAAAATCTAAACTAACACATGAGTTTAACTGAAATTATAAGTTAAGAAGTAATTTTTGGCGTCCAAAGAGTTGTTTTATTTTTTAATTTTTATCTGTTTCAAAATAATTATCATCTTTCCTTATTTAATAACTATGGTCTCTATTATATAACATAATTATTTTTTTTCCAAAATTATCTATAATTATTACTTTAATTTATTTTTTTAACTCTTTATAAAACAAAGATAATTTGATCATTTATATTCTACTATATCTACGTTTAATTTAATATTATTATTCTTTATTCACGTACCCTCTCCAAATGACCCAAACGTTTCTCTAAAGATATACTCCTTTTTAGTTTCAGCTGAAACTAATTTTTTTTTTTTTTTTGCTAATAGTAAAAACAATTGTATATTAATACCAACATAAAATATAAAAGACAAAATATCAAAATTATTAAGACATTTTCACTAACCAATAAAATACTACTTTCTCCGTCCCAAAACAATAAAAACATTTACGATTGACATGAAAATTAAAGAATAATAGTATTATATTAATAATAGGTGTAAAAATATTTTTAAAAGACTAATATGCCTATACTTTATTTAATTACTGTGAAAAAATGAAAAGTTTGTTACCAAAAATAGAAATGAGACGGACGAAATGGCAAAATAAAACTTATTTTTGGGACGAAGGGATATTATTTCTTAATTTAATATACCTAGGAAATGATCCCATTGCATTGGGACGAATGGAGTAAGTAAATAGATCCTGAATTTTTAGAACTAACTAATAATAAGATTACACCATTATTATGACAGCCTCATAAATGTGGTAAGCTTTGGCCATAAAGAAAGACATCTTCTTATACTGCTATTGTAATAAACTTAGGAGGGAGAATAGATGAAAGAGTACCTAGTCATAGGAAGAAAGAAGATGACATTCTAGCCGTCGTCGTCGTCGTCGTTGTCGTTATGCTCATCGCATTAGAAGCTGGAAAGCTTCGTTTCTGGTCTCGACTTGATACACGTAGCCGAGGCTGTTCGCACAGTCGTGGAACTCGCCTATCTCGTCATCGGCCACTTGGATGCCAACCAGCACGTTGGCACCGGCTTCTCCCTGGGAATGAAAGTCAAGAGGTTAAATTGTGGGTCGGGACTAAGAATGTAAGCATCGATTTCTGTAGTTAGGACTAGGTTTTGGAGAACGATCGCAACCTGTGCGCGGTAGTGGAACAAACTTATGTTCCAGCGCGGGCTCAGAGCATCCAAGAATTTCATCAGAGCGCCGGGTCTCTCGGGGAAGACAAACCGGCAGAGAAGCTCGTTTTTAACATTTGATCGGCCGCCCATCTGAGAGGAATTCAGACAAAATATCACACCAAGTTATATACTCCATAATGTAGATGTTCTTTAGAACAATCTATTATAAAAAGCTCGAAAATCATGTCTAAGAAAAGCTCGTTTGATTGTATGATCTATAGTGGAAGGGTCTCTAATCAGCACACAATGTGTAATAAAAATATATATTGTGTGTAATAAAGACATGTGTCATTTCCATGTTTTACTTGTTGTGTATAATAAAGACATGTATAGTTTGATATTACAGCGTGTGTTGTATATGACTATGTCATATCAACTACTGCCAATAGTAATATCATAGCACATTGTGTACTGAACAGAAAATTTCAACACTGTAGCTGCCACCTAAAGACTAATATTTTATCGAATCTAATGTAATTTTACTAAAAATTTAAAAAAAGTAATCAGTCTATTAACCTATTATTTCTCAATAGAACAATTCTCCATAAATATTATTAAAAAAATACAAACATACACACATATTAATATAATATATACATTATCCACTCATAAAAAGTTAATCATTCAACACGAAAAATTATTTTTTATATTATCAACACATAGTCCTCCATATTACATACAAAAAATCAAATTATCTAAAAACGCTGAGTGAACGGACCAATTATAGACAACACGTGATTAATATTCATTCAGCACTTTAGACAATTTGATGTGCATTGTTAATATTTAGTCAGTAATATATATAAATACCGTTAGCATATCTAAACAAATATCGCATGCATTCAAACTTACGACTAACATGCCGCTAAATAATGAAGTCGCGAGCATTTATCAAAAGGAAGTGTTTCGATGTTCAGCCTAGTCGTGCAATTGCTTACCAAATGTCGCAGATGATCTTTAGCCAAGTCATTTTTCGTAAGATTAATTGTGTGTAATCCAGAAAACTCCATTCTTTCTACCATTGCCGCAAGCTCTGCTTCAGTGTGAAGGCCAACGCTGTATAAAGGATACAAAAAGGAAAGGGGCATAAACGAGGAACACTTAATTGAATCGCTATAGCATAATGATTAATCTGAACTACATGAATTGCATTTCTTACCTGTATAATACAAGAGCTTTTTCTTTATCCGAACTAAACCTGTATTTGAATTCAGTAATATTGATTGGCCCCACCTGCAATAAGGAATGAACCAAACTCGGAGGATGTCTTTGAGTTAAAACGAAAAAAGATAAACCGATATAATTTGGGAGATACGCACGAGCTCGCAGAATAGCTTAAAGCTTCCCGGTTCTTCCGGCAGATAAGTAGCCAGTACAGCTTCCCGGCGTCTACCAACATCTGCAAGCTCTGTTACCAATCTCAGTCTATCGAAATTCATGTTAGCTCCACTGGTCACAGCTACCACATTGACGCCCTTGAGTCCATAGTATTTGCAGTAAGCTTCAGCTCCGGCGAGGGAAAGTGCACCTGCCGGCTCTAAAATGCTCCTTTTCTCCTCAAACATGTCCTGTCGCACGGAAAAGTAAATTTTAGCTTTTAATCTTTGCATTTCAGAGCAAGATTTACGCCGGAAATTGTTGTTAGTTTAGACAAGGAATAGCTGCCTCACATGTTTTGTTGTAAATCTATTTATAAGGTCCAACGTGTAAGTCACAAATTATATATTACAATTGATCTCAATATATCATATGTTGTATGTTCTATTTTCATGTACTAATTGGGACTAATTCAGTGCCCTAACAATTTCCCTCATTTATAAAGGCCTAAATCGAAGAAATTATACCGAAAACCAGCATTGTCAAATGAATGATACAGGAAACAAAGCGAAAACGAGCAAGTATTTAATCAAGAAGTACCAACTATCAAGAAAGTATAAGGAGCTAGAAACAAATTCAAGATTGAAACTGCTAAACAAAGAATTGGATATACCAATGCATAAAAGAGGCGAAAAGGAAATGAACCTTTATCGAAGCACAAATTGCATCACGGCTGACAAGAACTACCCCATCTATAAGTTCCTTGCAGAGGCGGAAGGTCTCTTCACCGACCACTTTGACGGCTACGCCATCAGCAAAACCTCCAACTTGATCCAACATTACTCGCTGACCATGGTGCAACGACAGAGCCATAGCATTAGCATCAAAGGGTTCGACTCCAATAATTTTCACTTCGGGAGAAACCCTTTTCACATAGGCAGCAATGCCGGCTATAAGCCCACCCCCACCAACAGGCACAAAAATCGCTTCTATTGGACCCTTCACCTGTCTCACAATCTCCATCCCAACAGTTCCCTGCCCCATTATTACATCTGGATGATCAAAAGGAGGAATAAACGTTCGACCATCCTCTTTTGCCCTCTTCTTGGCATACGCCTGCGCCTCATCATAAGAGTCCCCAACAAGCACAACAGTTGCTCCAAGTCTTTCAACAGATCTCCACTAAGAAATATTAACAAAAAAACAACTTAGATCAGTCATGGAACGAATGCCAATTCGATGAATATGTTATATCCAATAACCTTTATTTCTGGTGTAGTGACAGGCATCACAATCACCGCGCTGCAGCCCAACCTCTGAGCAGATAATGCCACACCCTGTGCATGATTTCCTGCAGATGAACATATTACTCCTCTTTCAAGCTGCTCGGGTGGGATTTTCGCCATCATGTTATAAGCCCCTCGAAGCTTGAAAGAGAACACCTGTATTTAAACAGACATGAAAACTTAACCTTTTCTTTTCTTTAATCATAACAAATACTACATAAGATCAAACAACTAATCACAAAACTAGGGCTAAATCAATACACAGAATGTGTGAATCTCTTAAAATTCAAATTTGTAACACTAAATGAGAGTAAATTGCGCTAAGAAACTAGCATCTTTGAGCAGTAAAATTGGGAGAAAATTTTAGAATCACGAAAACCTAATTTTAATCAGAGAATTGGCAATGGAAGTCAGAAATTTCTTTTTGCAGGATCACTCAAACCTGTCTATTGAAACATCAAGCCATAGGCTAAACTTCTAAAAATTCAAGATAAACGAACTAATTCAAATAAAAAAGGGGGAAAAAATTTCGAAGTTCCACTTACAGGCTGATAATCCTCTCTCTTGAGCCAGACATTGACTCCCCACCTCTCCGAAAGCTTACTTGCCGGCTGCAATGGCGACTCGTACGCCACGTCGTACACCTTCGACGAGAGAATATTCGTCAAGTACTCCATCGCACTTAATGTTCCGTTGGTAACCGCACCATTACCGAGATTCTCGTTCCGTATCAAACATCCGCTCTCACACGGCAAGGAGCTCGGCGAAACTCTCAACAGCGGCAGCTCCGCAGCCGGAGACGGAGGGAGCGCCAACGAATTAACCGCAGGAACATTTTCCACTGAAAATGCAACTTCCTCCTTCGACTTCGACACCGCCGCACAAATCCTCGGCGGAAGGCGGCAGCTCCGAACGGCGGCGCGGGAAGCTTTAGTGGCGCCATTGCCGCCAAATCTGGCGACATCGAGAGGCGATTGAGCGGCGGCGAAACGAAGAGATTCCATGGCGTAACCGAATTCAGGCACGAAAAGCACCGCCCGCTGCGCCGGAGAGAAATGCCGATGGAATTGGAACTGGTAGCGACGGCGACGGCGACGGCGTGGCCGTTTTTATAGCGAAGGGTTTGACTGAGCTGAGCTAAGTATTGATTAGTGATTAGTGATTAGTGATTAGTGATTAGGCCTAATTTAATTTTTTAATTTAATTTAATTTAATTTATGAATAAATGGTTAGTACTCTACTGTACAACACAACATGCGACTTATTTGTTAGCCGACATACTTTAGTCTTTAGTGCGGCTGCCGTATATTTATATACGCATGATTTTTCTTTGTCTAATGAATATATATAATAAAAAAATAAAATAAAAAAGAGAAAGAAGTGTGTTTTAATGATTGGATTTAGGAATTTGAGGTTTGAGAAGACTTTGAATAATAAAAATAAATTCGGATTAATACATTCGAACAACGTTTTTTATTGTTTTGTTAAAGTGATATATTTTATTTTCGATAATTTTGTTAAAGAATTAGTTGAAAATAGATTAAAGATAAAAAAAAAAAAATTAAAAATTTAAATGTTGAAATTAGATATATATATATATATAAATGATTGAAAAATAAGTGAGTCGTTATCTTTTGTAATAAATTTAAGTTTAAAATCTACAATTTTTAGATTTTAAATTTTAGATTATAATTAATTAAATTATTATGTGTTTATTATTTTTGTAGAGATAATAAGGGTGTGTTTGTTTTGTGTTTTGGTTTAATGAAATTTTTTTGATGTGATGTATAAAAAATTATATAGATATATAAAATTAATGTGTATATAGTATATTAATTTATTTTTTTTTGAAAAATATGTTGAAATTATTTTGAAAAAAATATACAAACCCTCAATTCTTCGTAAAGGTAATAAATGAAAGTTAACTATATTTATTAATAGAAGTAACAAATCTAGTTATAATAAAAACTGACAAAATAACTAGAGAAATAATAAAAAATGGTGATTGTAACAAATATTTTTAACTTCGATAAAATAAATTTGTAAAACCCAAAGACATCAGTCTTTTGAACTCATAGTGGACCATTACATCGTACTCCCTCCGTCCCAAATACTATGTCCACGTTGTCGTTTCTGTCCGTTTCACGCACTATGTCATTTTCCTTTTTTTAAAAATAATTATAGACTTTAATCTCATTTTGAATTTTTAAAATTTTTTTTTTTTAATTTTAATTAAAGTAATTAGTTATCTTAATCATAATTTATAATTATTTATATTATAGAATAATTATAAATTATTCTATAATATAAATATCTGTGATGAAAGAAGTAATTTTTTTTATATAAGATATTTATAAATATTTTAACATTTATTATCAAATAATAAATTTTTTAAAAAAAATATTTTAAACATAGTATGAAATACTATTGCAATTAACTACATTCACCAAATAATTTTTTTAATAAAAATATAATATTTTCTCTCACAAAATATTAAATTAAAAATATTATTCCAAACAAACTCCAATCAAAATTAATACTACATGGCCTTCACATTCTAATAGAAATAGTATAATATTTTTTAATATAAAATATTATTTAAATCAAATTAAAATTTCACTGCCTAATTAATAATAATAATAATAGAGTATTATTTTTTTATTATAAATTCATATTAAACTATTGTTTAAATTAAAAATTTTAATAAAATAAATAAATCAAATCAATTTAAATATTATATTAAATAACTGTTTAAATTAAAATCTAAATAAGAAAATTAAGTTCAAGATCAAATATTTTCAATATAAAATTATAGTTTGAGTTATTTTATTGAAGTAGTATATTAGATTTTTATTTTTTTTTGTCTAATTCAAATTTAATTTAATTGAAAGGATTTTTATTGTAATTTAACAATACGGAAAAAAAAAATATATTTCTTCGAAATTCTATAATTTTTTTAATAAAAAATATACTTATTAATTTCTAAATATGACTTATTGTTTTCACAAAAATATAAGTATGAAATAAGCATCAACACTCACCCTAAGAAACAAACACAAACATATACAGACATAGTGAATATAGCTTCATATTCCTGAAAACTTTATCAACATAAAGTATTTTCTCATCTTCTTTTACAATTTTCAATTTTGGCATAATTTTGATTTTCGTTTTATCTTCATACGAATTCCGTGAAACTCAAAACATTAATATAATCAAAATATCGTATAAGAAAAACAATCTCCTCAAAATATATTCAAAATCGTATATACATACCAACAATTCACCCTTTTCCCTATTCTCCAACACACAAAGCCTCAAAGTTCGTCTTCAAAATATAATTTTGCAACATTTTATCAATAGCATAAGCTATCCAAATAATTCGAAATCCAACCATTTTCAACAAAGCATTTTGAAGGAAATGTCATATATTGTCCCGGAGATCGTTTCATTCTTCGAGTAAAGGAACTTATAGGGAAACTTCAATTAGGTGCTTACTATGAAATGATACTGAATAACAACATCTTGATCTTACGTATCATATTAGGTGAAAATTTTAGAGGAAATCGCTTATTTTTTATTTTTTTTATTTTACGTTTTTTCAGACAAAAGATGAATGCTTCACGAAGAAAATCGACAAACCAACTAGTTACAAATTGAAATTGACAAAGAATAAAGTGAGCAACACTTACAAAGCATGTGCAAATCAGGTGTCCAGGAAATTGGCTGCCATAAGAAGTTCCAGTGTAAGCTCTGGTTCAATATGGAACTCAGTTTCCTTGCCACTGCACAGTATAAAGAACTTTATACTAAACTCTATAGAAATATATAATTATTATTTATTTTCCTAATCACATGAACCGGAACGAACATATTTGTATTGTTGTGAATGTGGCTTTATTTTTTTTGTGTTCAAATATATTGGAGACTAATTTTGAAATAGGTTCACGGCTTAATTTACTTGAATCTCTACGTGGAAAGCAGATTCATTAAAATATTTTTATTTTTTTTTTATAACTTAAAAACTACAGTTTTGATAAATTTTTGACTGAGTTTAATAATCTGTAAAAATAAGTGCGAGTTATACCGGACAAACTAAATGTGACAGACAATGATTAATTTAAATTAAATGTGCATATATATATATATATACTTAAACCTATGGACTAATGGTACATGCTAATTGATCCTAATCAACATATTGGGCCACTTGAGCCTAGCATAGAATCCTAAAATTTTGGGCCCCTTTCAGGCCATTTCCAATGGGCTCAATCCAATCTCAAATCTCCCATTTTTGTAGCCATCTACAGTGTTACTGAAGTAATAATGTAGCTCACTTCATTTTTGGAGTTGAATATGTTGTGGTTTTTTATATTTCCTCCATCCCAAACATCCCGTAAGATTTTATTTTTGACATGTCCCAAACATCTTGCAAGATTTTTAAAATAGGAAATAATTAATTATACTTAATCTCCACCCCACACTTTATCCCCTCCAAATAAAAAAATAAAATATATATTTCTCTCTCTGTAGCTGCAGCATCACCTAACTTATAAATTATCCTACTTAATACTAGCCACCTAAAAATCCGTGCCAAAAGTAAATGTTGCACCTTGTTTGTGACGGAGGGAGTAGTATTTTGTTATTATTTGAAAGGTCTTTTATAATTTTATTTTTATGAAAAATAATGTGTATTCAACTAGTACTAATATGAAGTGACGCTACCCAGTCCATTCAATGCTCCATGTCCCAATCTAGCTCCATCAAATTCAATACAGTGTTAGAATTCATTAAATGGAGTCACTCTATTATTGTTCAAAAAATAAAATATCTACTCAATGCTCAAACAATATATATAATATTAATACTCTAATTACTAAAATAAAATTAATATTTCAATACAAAATATTATTTTTTGTATTACCTGGACACTTCTTCGTACCTACCATGAAAAAAAAAAAGAAAAAAAAATATATCGAACTAAAAATCCTAAACAAACACACTTAACAATTCTCCCTAACTAATGAACGTTAACCAATAGCTGCTTAAAGCATGGGGTGCATTAGCTAGCTACTCCAAGCATACAATCTTAGCTCATGCTCATGCCTATGGAGTATTACTTTACAGGGGATTCAAAACTATGCATATATATCAACATAATTAACTACATAGTACCAAGTTGGAAGAACAAACCTTGCATATTGAAGAGACCAGTAGAAGTATTGGCAAATCTTCTCCAAAATGGTGGTTCTTATCTCCGGAAATTTCACCTCCCTACGTTCTTTCTCCGCAAAACATCCTATGATTCGTCGAACAAACAAAATTCTTCAAACACTAATAACATAGCAACAAAATAAAATTATTCCCATCTTCAAAACCAGAATTCAGCTCAAAATTCGAATAATCATGCCACAGTCAATTTAATGAATTACAAAAATACATAATAATGGTACTATTAAAAATGTTCCTAAACAGGAATAACAAGAAATTCTGGTCATCAATATTCCCAATCTCCATCAAAGACTTAACACCATACCTGGAGAGGTGAGCATACTATGGATGACCTGCGAAACCATGGCAGCCTCCTCGTCAACGATGAACTCAAAACCCTCAGCACTGATCAGCTTCAGTGTATCTTCCTTCTTCATCTTGACCTCGATTCATCGACCAATCACTGATCACGCCCTTTTCTTTCTCCTCTCTGCAGCAGGAGTCGAGTTTTCGGCCTTTGCGAAGGAAATTTTATTGTGGCCCTGCAGATGGACAGTGTTCTGCAAAATGTTAATGGAAATGATAGAAACTAATAAAATAATATGAACATATTTTCCACAGAAACAGGACTGTAGAGGAAAACCAATTCGAGGAAGAAGCCTGGAGTCCAGTCACCCCCATTTTGATTTTACTTCAAGCAAACATCATTGAAATCAGCCCTCAGCAACAACTAAAAAAAAAAAAAAACAAAAAACATGTTGATCTGTAATTCTTATTTGAACTTCTAAAAACTTTATTTAATTTTTCCAAACACTCCTATGAACTCGAGCATCATTACAAGTTAAGGTTTGTGTGTTCCACTCTACTTAACTCAATTATGAGGAACTATCCATCCTTCTTAAGAGTATTGCTAAAACAAATAACATAATAGATAATGTGAACTTAAATGTGTCTTTCCTTCAAAAGAATGATAAACGTAGAGCAGTGAGTATATGATATTACAGGGCATGAATATCTATGTAATGAATAAAACAATGGGCGTCGCGATGAAAATGAATGTTATTTTGTAGGAAAGAACAATCATCCATAACTAATGAGGGAAGAGCGAAAGCTTATGAATCCATATTCATGAGGGCTAATTAATAAGAATTTGGACTATCTTCCACAAAGGGCTGATATCTCCAAAAGCAAAGACAGACTCAATGTGGCAATAAATTGAAATGTATACAGACAGACGGGAATTTGACAGGAAAGACATTTGATCCAATCCAGGATCAAATAAAGGATATGTTGGTGATCGAACACTTTTTCAAGATCAAGAGTATCAATATTGCATCAATCAAAATCTTTGAATCAATAAACCCTAAAACTTCAATCATATCCACTAAAATCAACACAATCAATTATAACTATCACCAAGCAATTCAAACCCTAAATACTCGTAACAGCCGGCCAGCATTCAAATTGACAACAACTAATACAAAATTAGTGTAAGGTTGAACTTACAAAGCCTCCGATGGATGAACACGTTAAAACGAAGATAGCGACAATGAAGCTGTCCTGGATTGAACTTTACGCGAAAAGATCATAGAAAGAAAGCAGAAGAGGGGAAGAAGAAGGAGGAACAGAGAACAGAGAGGAAGAAGAGAATCAGTTGATTTTGCTGGAAAATTCGTTACCGCCAAAACTGTTTAATTTCAGTTATTTGTACTTTGTCTAAAGATTTTGCTAAGCCTAACACATATTTATAGATAATAAGTGCGCATTTAACTGTAATCGGCCCGGCCCATAGGAGCCAAAGCCCAAAATAAAATTGAAAAATTGAAATTTGTTTGCTTGTTTTGAAGTATTTCTTTTATAGATATAAAAATTATATAGTAAGATAAAAAAATAATATTTCACTTTAAATGGTAAATTTTTGTGAAATGGTATTGTTGAACCGTAATTTTATTCAACAAAATAAAGTAAAATTCGACTTATTGAATCCGAACTTAACGGGTGAATCTAAGATAACAAATATCTAAACTCGAAAATTACATATGAAAGTAGAAATTAACAAATACATTGCAAAGGAACGGAGAGATAAATTTTTAGGAGGATTGATTGCTATTGTTTTTTGTTCGAACACCAACGGGACTATTTATCATCTGGCCAGCAACCACACATACTGTCAATTATTCGATTATGAAATTCGTAGGATAACCGTCGGCAATTTTAGTTCGCAAATACCTCTTTTTTGGTCGGGGAGTTGTAACCGCTCAGATATACTCATTGTCTTGTCTTATTCACTTTCTTTTCGACCTCGCATTAACTCTTGACTTCTGATTCTCCGAACTACTCCCTCCGTCCACACACATAGTGGGTAGTTAAAAGTAATAAAATAACATTTTTGCCCTTACTTTTTTATGTAAAAGTAACGATGTGATGTAAAATAAGGGTATTTAATATTTAATATTTGTGAAAAAAAGTAAAATATTTACTTTATAATTGAACGTTTCAAAATAAAAATATATATATTTAACAACTAAACTCCAATTTTGTTTTGTGCGGGTCGATGGGCCCAAACCCTAATTTCGATTTTAGGGCTTGAGCATTATAAAAATAGTTGGACAAACAAATTATTATTTCTTTTGAAAAATATTTATTTGCAAGTTACTCTATTTTTATTTAAAAACAAATAAATAAATCATTATTAAATTTTATTTTTCTTTATAAAAATATGCAAACAAAAATGACAAATAGTATTTTTGAGTGGATAGAAAGCATTATTTTTTAAGTAAAAAATTAGTTTCATTTTAAAGGAACGATCCAAATAGTTACAATTTAGGTGTGACATGATAAAATAAACTTTATTAGATTACACAAATTTATTTGAAATGAAATCACTGCACAAATATATATACATGTGTGTTTGTCCGGGGATTCTCTTTCAAATACATTATTCTATCCATTTTTTTTTTCCTAAAAACATCAAATCAAATACATATTTTTTCATTTTTTATATTATACTAAAAATTAATTTTACATTCAAAACAGCACATCAACACATATTTATATCACATCATACAACTATTCAAATTCAAAATTTTTACTATTCAAATCTCAACTCAAAATCCAAACCCCCGGACAAACACACCAATGAAATTTTGAAGAAACTAGCCCATGTGTCACAGTCGGCTTTTGGAGGAGCGTTGAATCGATGGTTGGATTTTAAATCAACTATTCATCCTATTATTTCTCCCAAAAAATATCAAATCAAACACCTATTTTTTATTTTTTATATTATACTCCCCCTGTCTCACATACCATGTCCACGTTGCCGTTTATGTCAGTCCGACATTCCATATCACTTTCCTTTTTTGGAAAATAATTACACACTTTAATCTCATTTTAAATTTTTTAATTTATTTTTTTTAATTTTAATTAAACTAATTAGTTATCTTAATCTTAATTTATAATTATTTATATTATAGAATAATTATTTTCACTAATACATTCTTAATTATCTGCTAATTACACCCTTCTTAAAATACAACATTTACAATGTAGCAGACTCGGTATGTGGGAAGAAGGAAGTACTAAAAATCAATTTTACATTCAAAATATCACATCATGTTTATATCACATCGTACAACTATTCAAATTCAAAATTTTTACTTTTAAATCACATCTCAAAATTCAAACCACAAACAAACAGACCGTATCAGTTTCAACAACGAAAAAATTCACTAAAATTTGGGCTAATGTCTTGAACTTAAAAATATTTTGTAATTCTTTCAAAAAGTGGCGTGCAATCATTAGGTACATCTTAAAATATTCTAAAATGTTGTACATAAAGCATAGAGTGTTGTACATGTGTTTCAAAAAAGAAAACTGTATTGGGTATACAGATCCCATTCTGAAAATGAGAAGCTAGAAAGAAGAAAGCGGCATCTTAGCAAAGCTGGAGTTGAATTCCTATGGCATTGTCTACAGATTTGATCACCGTCACTGAGTTCTATGATCGCTTTGTTCGTAGTATAGAAACGACATCATGTGTTTTTGTCTTTCGTGTTTGGATCTAAACAATTATCTGGTTTCAGAATGAATGTGATAAATGTGCACACACCACTTGATTGTGGCTGCAATTAAACTGGCAGTTATGTTATCCCTTCCACGAACCACTATGTAAATATATAACTGATTTGTTGGTATTCGCACCTGTTAGTTGGCGCAAAGCAATGGAGCTCTCGGTGCTTCGCCATCCACTGAAGCCAGCATCCTTTCGCACCTCTTTCATCCCCCAATCCGCCACAGGTTCGCGCACAATAATTCTCAGGTTTATTATTCGGTTCGATTTGATTTGTGATTTTGTATTTCAGCAGCAAGAATAAGTTCAAAGAGGAATAAATCATTCTCGCGGTGCCGCTGTTCGTCGGCGGAGGGAGCTGCGGCGGTGGATGAACAGGGAAGGAGAGCATTCGTGGGGTGTCTACTTGCAGCAGGTTAGGTTTAGGTTAGAGCATTCGTTAGGATTTTTCGATGAATAATAGCTTGCATCGAAGTTCTAGGGTTTGTGATGGAAATTTGGGGATTAGGTGAAAATTGATTATGGTGTTTATGATTGATCAGCTGCGGGGATGTGTTTATCTGATGAAGCTAGTGCAGTGAGCACAAGCCGAAGAGCTGTAAGACCATTGTTTTTGTTTTCTGCCATGAAAATCAAAATCCTCAGCTCAACAACACACACACACACATACACATGCCTCTGCAGATATATGAAATTACTTAGCATATGTATGTATGTATGTATTTATGTGTCTCTGTTTCTTGAATTTTTGCAGCTGAGAGGGGCAAAAATACCGGAGAGCGATTTCACGGCGCTGCCGAATGGCTTGAAGTTAGTGCATTCATATATACACACATATATATATATATAAATTTGCATCGCATTCTTTCATGATTTAGAAACTGCTTGATATCCATTCGTGTTTTAGAAAACATCCCATAGAATCCCCTAAAAATTAAACGAGACTTCCTCGAATTTTCGGAAACATTACAGTCTTTAAATCATGAAGGAGAAAAGAAAACTTTTTAAACCACAAGTAGAATATAAGCAATTTTGTCCTTTTCGAAATAACTATATATGTTGGGCTGTGTGGTGTTTTAACAAGTTCGTGGTTTTGTAGGTATTATGATTTGAAGGTCGGGGGAGGGCTTAAAGCGGTGAAGGGATCACGGGTTGCCGTATGGCTGTGCCACAGTTGATGTTTTTAATATCTAAGTACATGGATTTTCATTTCTACTATAATGTGGATGATTGTTTTTGGTTTGTAAGGCTTTTCTATGGTGTTTGGTTTGCTTAGTAGAAGCTTCGTTGCTTTATAGTCGAGAGTCGGATTAAAAATAGCATTATGATCTTGGTTTTCCTTGAAACCAACGCATCCAAACAACTCTTGATTCGGTTGTTGGTTGGTGTTTCGTTAGGTTCATTACGTCGCCAAGTGGAAAGGCATCACGTTTATGACGAGTAGACAAGGACTCGGTGTTGGTGGTGGAACGGTAAGGTTTATTGCTAGCCTCTATGTTGTATTGACATTGCTTAATTATCGAGTAATTTGTTCACTACTCAGGAAATGGGTTGTCAAGATTGATGATGTTTTTATCGACTAACTGTTATAAAACAGCCATATGGATTCGATGTTGGTGATTCAGAGAGAGGATCAGTTCTTAAGGGCCTGGATTTAGGAGTCGAAGGGATGCGCGTTGGAGGCCAGGTAAGGGATCGAATTATCGATCTTGCCAATGATCAATGTAACAAATCCCGTAAACTTCCCAACGCTCTGTTTTCCTTAGCAGAGGTTGCTGATAGTGCCACCCGAGTTAGCTTATGGATCGAAAGGCGTACAGGAAATTCCTCCAAACGCAACGATAGAGGTATCGGCAGTACTTAAAACCATTCTACAGTTTTATAACATATGAATAATGTATGATAAAATCTTTCCGTTCTGCAGTTGGATGTCGAACTACTATCGATCAAACAAAGTGTATTCGGGTACGTAATAACTAATCTTGCTAAACTTTCGTTTTCGATATATGTTGGCATTCTAAAGCTAATCTTTTTTTGTACAGGTCTTCTGTGAAAGTTGTTGAAGGATGATTAGGTATGCTTTTAATTTATGTTCATTTATTTTATATAAACTGTGATCATACCATCAATTGAATTAACAAGACCAATGTTGTACATATCATTTTTATGAATCTCTATATGTAAAGACAAAGGCTACCTAAGGTTCGAAAACAATGTCTACAAATATACATAAATTAGCGACATACCTACCTTGCGGCGAAGAGGATAAATGCTATGAGATCAGAAGGGTGACGGATACCAACACAAGCGAAATAATGATCTTATGCAGTGTGTGGAAGATTGGACTGACCAGCGAGCTGCTGCCGGCAATCAGCTGCCCGGCGTTCAGAAACTCATCTTTACTGGTAGTTACGGATACATTTACAGACAGAGAACCTGAAGTGAAACGGTAATTTTTGAGCGAGGCTTTTTTGCGCTATTGTGATGGTAAAATAGATGGGGTTAAAACTTACAATCATGGTCAGCCCATCCTATTCTCCGGTGAGCCAAATCATAAACGAATATTTTATCTTTGAGAACAAGATCTGGGGCAAGGAAACAGATAAGTGTAAGCTATGTAGTTCGATGTTTTGGTCGAAAAGTCAATCAGTTTTATCCGAATTTACCTCCTAGAATAGATGTCTCTTGATTCTCTACTTTAATAAAGCCAATGCACCACATTGCAGCACCATCCTGCGAAAGGTAATAGCCGTAAGCTTTACATGGTTTCGACCTTTTGACAAGCTAAAAAAAAAAAGAGGGAAAGGGACTTACAAGAAATCCTGTGTGCACGAGGTAGTCGATTGGTCGTAGTATCAGGGATGCATCCCCGGCAAAATTGAGCGCGACCGATGGGAACATCTGAAGCTCACTTTTTAAAAGATAAACCACCAGGTTAGCGAAGTGATCAAAGATTACGAGTCTTGTAAAATACTTGGATCGAGAAAATCGTGTGAATCAAACCTTGTAGCAACAAGATAGCACTGATTCCCTTTCGAAATAATCGGTTTGACAAATTGAGATACGGTCGCAGTTAACTACAAGGCAGGAGGAACTTCAGGCAAAGTCGCGACTTTAAAGAGAAGGTGTAAAGTGGAGATGTAACTTACAGCAGCAACAAGAGGATCGTAAGCTCCTTCGACAAGGTACGCCAATGTTGTCCCGGAATCAACGATTGTTCCTTTGTTGCCTGATGTCGTAAACAGTTCTTGATCGATTGGTAGCAACTGTCTGTTGACAGCTATACTCTGCAGATATAAATTGTAGTGAGACCTGAAAATTAGCAAGAAAAAGATCAAAAAGATCGAATTATGGTATAGAACAATGCAGAGCATTTGCCTTCCTAGAAAACCTGCAATATGAACACTAATTTTTGTGTGCAAAGGTCTCAGAAAAGATCGACGGCGAAAACTTTGTTGAAACAACAATCACGAAAAGAATGACTTAAGAACATATGAATGCCGTAAACATATCTACGCGGCTAAAACTAAAATATACGTACTGTGATGGAACAAGGGGGGTATAAACAATTCTCGGATCCAATATCTCACCAAGAACTAGTATTCCTCCGCCATTGCCCTCACCTCTCAGGCAATGGGAAAACACTTTAGGTGTAATCCTTTGTGACGACAACTGTGATATTACGGACAGATCCTGCTGACCAAATCCGAAGATTCCATCAACTGCTCTATCCGGTTTAGTCAGGTCCCCGGCCTGAGAGGTACTGCACCTGCATCCACACAACAACTACGTGCATCAATATCTCATATAATTCTTGTCGCCGGGTAAAATTTTCTAATTACATCAGCTTAAAAGATTCGCCACATCATGTAACATTTGGAGCTTACCCAAAAACAATTGGAGCAGAAGAATTGGCTACTAATGAGGCATCAAAGATCGTATCAAAGTTGAGTAGGTCAGATACATAAAAACCAGCTGTCCCGCTTCCATCACCATATTTAAATGAGTAGCCGCACTGATTGCTTTGAGCAGAGCATTCGGCAGATGCAGTTTGAACAATGGAAGAGCAGATATTATCCGCACAGGAAATAGAGGAAACGGATGAAGAGGTCGAAGCATCATAGAAATTGAGGGGAATCTGAAAGCACACCTTGCCATTAGCTTCACTTATTCTCGAATTAATTCAAAAAATTATCATCGAAAAACTACAGTAAAACGCGAGTTATAGAGTGTGTTCTTACACCCAATCCACTGCTCCGTGGACAATTGTTGCAGGAACTGCAACTAACCCACAAAATATCACTCCCGGTATCAATCTGTACATTGAACTCTTGTGGAGGAGACCCCAATCTCACTTTGGTGAAATAAAGTCTACATAATTGAGTTTATTCGCCAAGGTGCGAATATGTCAGTAAATTTTAAGCTACAAGATCAAATTAATGCGACTACAAATCATGTAAGGGCCATTTCATCGAAGAAGGAGAATGAAGCTGAAGCAAATACAGAACTAACTTTAAAAAATCCATGCATAATCGATGCCCGAGTGAGAAAAGAATCAGACTGGAAAGTAGGTAACATCCAGACAATGCAATTGATGTGAAAGTGCAAACAACTGAAACATCGTCCAAAGCATCATATCCCAACCTCCATGAATTTAAGCAAAACCATGAACTTCCAAAACACATATATTCTTTCGACTAATTTAAACAATCAACAGCCCCAAAAGAGGATAAGAATTCATGAAACCATAGCAAGAGCTATCAAAATTTTCAGGTGTAGCAAAATTTATGAACTGCCGAAACACATATATTCAACTAATTTAACCAACCAACAGCACCAAAGGAGGATAAGAATTCATGAAATCATAGCAAGAACTATCAAAATTTTCAGGTGTAGAAAAATCATGAACTGCCAAAACACATATATTCCTTCGAATAATTTAACCAATCAACAGAAAGGAAGGAGGATGAGAATTCAAAAAAAAATGGCTCATTGCATTGACCGACAAACTCCACCAAATTATTGATAGTTCAATTCTCCTTAAACATCATAAATTCAAAGCAATTGAGTCTATGGTAAAAACTGGAATCAAATTTCTTAGTGGTGCAACGAAGTTACCCAACAATGTAGGGATCGGAGGTACCCCTAACCGGAAAGTCTACAACACCACCGGAAAAGCTCTGCAACAGCCGCGCGTGCCTCGCACGGTCCCGAGCTTTAACAACCTCGAGCTCCATTTTCTCCTCCACCGGAAACGCCCTCTCCAAATTAAGCACTCTGTGAATTCCAGCACCGTCGCCCTCCGTCGACAAGGCGGCGTATACAACAGCCACAACCACCATCAGCACCGACCTAGCCATCACCTGCAACCCAAACTCCCACTATAATATATATATCGCAAAAACCTGTTAATCTGCAGCGGTTATTATACAAACCAAAGCATAAAACGCAAATTAGGGAAGAAAACACGAAACTAAATGCTACGCAAAGGTTTTTCTATACGTATGGGTTTTGGTAAGCAGTGTCGTGTACGAGCACAGGGACAATCACAACCCTACGCATCCATACTAAAAAAATATACAATATGTAAGCAAGAAGATTCTGATTACAAATAACACAAAAAAATTACAGCAGCAGCTGCAAAACAATGGCAGTCGCTATCGGTAATTATTGCATCCGAAAATCAACCACAAAAACTCGAGAAACATACAAATCGTTCGAATCGACCAACCTGCCTGCAAATAGTACGCTCGATTAAATGATTTCACACGTAACTAGAGAAAACGAGCTGAATCCAGAGCCGAATTTCATTGTTCTTCGCACACTGAAGGTTTGAAACCAAACAATGGAGGAAATTTATATATATCTATATATATATATATAAACTCTTCTTTTTTTTTTCTTTTTTTTTGGTGTAGAAGACGACCGTTGACTGTTGACTATTTAGCAGACAAGGATTGGGTATAATTAGGACGGTCGTTTTTTGTGTTAATTTAAATTTAATTTAATTTAAATGGCGAAAGTAACAATGGTGTGGGCGTAGTCGACACGCTTATTAATTTATTAGTTTGCATTTGAAAGCATATTTGTATTTATTAGTTTTCTTTTTTTTTTTTTTTTTCCAAGTCAAATATATTTTTTTTTTAAAAAAATATCTTAAATATTATGCAATATTTTTAATAAAAAATAATTAATTATATTTAATCTCTACTTTACACTTTATCCTCTCACATCATTCAAATAAAAAAATAAAATATATATTTTTATCTCCATCGTCATCTAATTCCAAAATTATTCTACTTAATACTATCCACCTAAAACCTCGTGTCAAAATCAAATGTTTTACCTTGTTTGGGACAGAAGGATAATTTTTTTAATAAAATATCAAAATATGCACAGTGTTACTCCACTGTTTGGAGTTTTGTGGTATTTTTTATATTTTTTGTATTTTCTGGGTGTATTGTATAATTTTAATTTTTTAGTAGATGATATGTAATTTTATATTTTAAGAAGTTGTATGTAATTTTATTTTTTTGAAAATAATGTATAATTTTATTTTTTAAAAGTTGTATAATTTTAGTTTTTGGAAAGTAATATAATTTTATTTTTTTAAAATTAATGTATAATTTTATTTTCTAAATTGATATATAATTTTACTATTGAAAAATAATATAAATTATATGTGTATGGATCTAATGTAAAAATAAATTAAAGTTGAGGTGTAATTTATAAATATAAAATAATATAAAATAGGAATATATATAGATAATATACTTTTTAGAGTAAAAATTGAAGTTTATGGTTGAAATAAAATTACTGTAGATAACTGCATTTTTATTGTAGTGGGTTGGAGATAGCGTAAGACGGAGAGAGTATTTAAATTTATGTGTAAAAATTAAATGAGTATATGTGACCAAGACGGATGGGGAATATATTTGTTTTTTGTAAAAATATTTAAAATTATATTTCATTCATCTCGACTAAAATACTTTTGGTTTTTTTTAATAAATTAAGAATTTTTGTTTTTTTAGTAAATTAAAAAATAATTTTCCTTACATCCTATAGAAAGACTGTCGTTTATTTTTGGGTGAAAATGGGTCAGACTTTGATTAAACAGGCTAGGCCTATTTTGAAGAATTAAGGATTGAGCCTGGCCTATTAGCTTGTAATAAAAAAAATTATACAGCTTGAGTCGACCTATTTAAAAGCCTATATAATAATTAATTTTTTATTTCTTAAAATTTAATATTACTAAAAAAATATTAATGCAATTATTATTTTATGTATATATAATTATAGTTACAACTAATCAATTTTATATTTGATTATTATCACTAAATTAATTTTTTTTAAAAAAAAATATAAATATATAATAATTTTATATATTAAATTAAAATTATATATATAAATAGACCAGCTTGATAGGCCTAAAAGGCTTTTCGTAAAACCTAAGCCTATTCTAATTAATTAAATAAGCATTAAAATAAGCCTATATCGAATTATTTGAATAAATAGGCCAGGCTGTAGGCCCCTCGTAGGCCACCTCGCCTATTTCCGCCCCTAATTCTATAGTATAAAAGTAATGATATTCGTATAATATAATATATTGTAAGTTGGAATATATTTATTATGTGAGGTAGATAATACAATTACTAAGAAATGGTAATTGTTTTAGAACGTACGAAAATAGAAAATGACAACATTTTAATGGGACGAAATAAATAGTATTTTATTAATCAGTAAGAATATGTAAGATAATTTTGATATTATTGTTTTTACCGGTATAAATAAAATAAATATTTTTGTAATAGTTAAAAAATATTTTGATATTTTTATATGAATTACTTTTACTACATATGATACTTCAGAGTTGGGCCGGTGCTAGGCTAACCTCTGTGCAATGATGAGTCGATGCTAGAACATTCAAGATGGAATATAAATTAAATTGATTGAATAAAATATACACACAATTTTATTATTTTTATTTTAATAAATAATAATTAATTTATGACTATTTTTCTATTAATTTTATTTTTAAACTTTTTATAAATTTTCATAATATTCTCATTTATTTTTTATGTTATTATTATTCTTTTTAAGTCTTTATATTCAATAAACAAGCATAAAACTCGGAGGACAAAAATATAATTTTCTATTTTCGGTCAATTTTTATTTACAATCACTAATTTTATTATATTTTTTTTATTTACTTAATTATTAATTGAATATTTAAAAATACCTTCAAATATATTATTTTTAATGTTTGTATCAGATTCAAATATTTTATTCCCTCCGTCCCACATAATTTGTCCCTATTTTTTATTTTCGTTCGTCCCACATAATTTGTCATTTCTTTTTTGAAAAATTAATTATACACTTTAATCATATTTTAAAATTTAAAATTTTTTTTAATTTTAATTAAACTATTTAGTTATCTTAATCTTAATCTATAATTATTTTTACTAAATAATAATTATTTTTACTAATATATTTCTTAATTACTTACTAATTATACTTTACTTAAATTTCCGTGTCTACAGTAATACACCCATATTACATGGGACGGAGGAAGTAATTTTTACCTAATAAATATATATATATATATATATACATTGATTATTGATGTAACATTCAAATGAGAGACAAAATTCCATCATTAAATAGTTAATTACTTAACTAATTAACTGAAAGATTGTAATTGTAATTTAGCCAATAACTTTAATTAAATTTAAGACAAATAATTATAGATTAAAATTAAGATAATTAAATAGTTTAATTTAAATTTAAAAAAATTATAAATTATAACATTTAAAATGTGATTAAAATGTATGATCATACATTTATTGTGCGAAAAGGACAAAAATAGAAAATATGAACAAATTATGTGTAACGATAGGAATATATTTTAGGAAAAAATAATTTTCGTCCCGATATAACTAGAATTAATCAATTTTGGTCGCAATATAAAAAAATCATAAATTTTAGTCTTAATATAATCAATTTTAGTCGTACCGTTACAAACATAATGAAAAATGCTGACATTAACATAATAGAGATGACGTGACATTTGACCTGGACTATATACGACCGTGTTGTCACGGTACACCGTGTACATTACTGCCACTCTGCAAATTTTTCTTCTTTTTTATTCTTTTTCATTATTCCTTTTACACGACCGTGTATCGTCCAAGTTAAATGTTATGTCATCTCCGTTAAATTATTTATGTCAGCATTCTCTATTGTAACGATGAAATTAAAATTGTTTATATTATTATCAAAATTGATTAATTTTAATTATATTAAGATAAAAATTTATTTATTTTTTTCTATATTTTATATTATTAATACGATTTCTCATTGTACACATTAAAAATATTAAACAAACAAACCCTATGGTTTGATTGCTTGTATATGAGTTTTAAGTTTTTTTACTCCCTCGATCTTATGAAATGGTGTTCGTCCCAAAATAAGAATGTTTTTTTTTAAATTTAGTAATTGTACTATATATTTACTATTATTATAAATATCATTACAATTTACATTATATTAGACAATTTATTTTTTTTATATTAAACAATACCAATTATGGTGTTTTTGTCTTATTATTATTATAAATGATTATAATATTAATATTAAAAAAATTATGTATAAAAATAAATGATATTTTTTTTACGGGAGGAGGAAAGTATTTAAATTTATCTGTCCCAAAATATTGCAATAATTATATTTTTCTGTCACAAACAATTTGCAATATTAAGTTAAGGAAACGCATTATATGTAAGTTAGGTTGTTTAATCATTTATTTTCTTTTGCCAAATTTTACAAGATTTTTATTATTCATCGATTTTTTTATTTTTTTTCAAAAACAAATCAATCTCTTGTTTTTTTATATTATATTTAAAAATATCAATTAAAATATTTCAATTAAAATATTTTATTATTCAAATACTAATGCAAAATCTAAAACCCCAAAACAAGCCACCTTAGTTAGTGTGTGGGGATAAGTAGGGGTGATCATTCGGATTTTCGGTTCAGATTTGGCAAAATTCGAACCGATTCGAAAATTCGAAATTTTTGAAAACACCAATTCGAACCGAACCGAAATAACCAAAATTCGAAATCCGAAAATCCGTAATCTGAACTAAAAAATCCGAACCAAACCGAAATATCCGAAATTCTAAATATTATTATTTTTTTTTTATTTTTAAATTTCTTTTATATTTTATTATTATTTTATAATATTAAATATATATAATATATAAAATTAAATATATTAAAATATAATTAATAAATTTGAGTTTTCTATATTAAAATATAATATTTTCTAATAAAATATTAAATATATATAATAAAAAAATATATTAAAATATTATATTTCGGATTTTGGATTGGTTCGGATTTTAAGTATACTGATCCGATCCGATCCGAAAATTCGAAATTTGTTAAAAATTCAATTCGATCCAATCCGAAAAATCCGAACCAAATTTTAAATTTCGATTTGGTTCGGATTGAATTTTTGGATTTTGGATAATTTACTCACCCGAGGATAAGAACAAATTTGGAGTCCTATCTCTCTTGTACCGCACGATTTTGTTTATATTCTTGCGGGCAATCACTTTCAATTTATTATTCTATTTTTTAAAATTTTTTTTA